GGGCGTCCTAGGAGCCTCTCAGGCTGGAGACCTTGAAAAGTCGCGCTCTTCGGGCCCTCTTGGGTCGCTCTTGGGGCTCTCTTGGGGCGCTCTCGAAGCCCTGTTGAATTATCTGGGGAGCCTCCTGGGCCGTCTCTGGTCTTCTTGGGAGCCTCTTCGGCCGTCTTGGAGCGATCTGAACGGCCTCTGACGCCGTCCGGGACCGTGGGGAGGCGGCCTGTGGAGGGGCCTCTGGAGGCGCTCTTGGAGCGTATCGGCGTCGTCGGCCGTCCTGAGGCCATCTTCGGCGTGTCCGGGGCCTCTTGAGGCTGTCTTGGCAAGCTTTAGGGCCCTTTTGGCGTGTCGTGGCGCGTTTGGGAGCGGACCTGGGCAGTCCCAGGAGCGCTGGGGGCTGTTGAATGCTAGGTGTTGTCTTGGAGGCGGAGGCTGTTGAGTGCAGGGTGGCGCGTGCTACGCGGAAGGCGGGCGAGCGGCCAGGCGGGCGGCGGGCGGGCGAGTGGCGGGCGGGCGGGCGGGTCGGGATTTGAATGAATTCTTTAAGGGTGCTCTCTTGCAGCGGGAGCTTGTTGAGCACAGGGTGTTGCCTTGAAGACGGGGGCTGTTGACTACAGGGTGTTGTCTTGGAGACTGAAGCTGTTGAGTACAGAGTGGTGCGTGCTACGCGGACGGCGAACGGGCGGCGGGTGCCCAAGGTGGTGGGTCAGAGCCCACATGGGTGTTGGTTTGGATCTCGTGGTTGGCCTGTCGGGAACGTCGTGAACGCAGTTTCACATCTTTTCGGTGACCGTTTGGGGGCCGTAGTGGGGCCTCCTCGGGGCTGTTTTGTGGCCTTTTGAAACCTCGTTTGGGCCTCCTGGGTGCCTCTCGGGGGCCTCCTGGGGCCTCTTGGGGGCTCCTTGGGGCCTCCTGGGGCACTCTTCAAGCGGGAGGGTCGAATTTTGGATTCGTGGTCCCCTCTTGGGCGCATCTTGGGGCCGTCTTGGGGCTCTCTTGGACTGTCTTGGGCGCCTCTGGGGTCGTCTGGGGTCCCTCTTGGGCCGTCTTTGGCCGCTCTTGGGGGCCTATTAGGCCGTCTTGGAACGTCGGACAGCCGAAAAGGCAAAATCTCTCCCAAACCTTTGAACAATTACCGATTTCGGCCACTTGAAGCGCTCTGAAGAGGCCGGAGCACTGGACCCAGGACCCCCGGAGGAGCCTCCGAAAGTCGAAGGGCGACAAGAACATCGGCGGGAGGCGAGTCGAGAAGTCGAAGGGGCAAGCGCGGTCCCGAGGGGCGACCGGGGCGGGGACGGCGTCGTCGACGACGACGCCGACGACGGCGACACCGCCGACGACGGAGAATTCTCTCTGGGATCCGAGGGCCTCTGCGCTGGCCCGGGGCGGGATGTGCCACCGCAGGAGGGCCACGGCGCGCATGGCGTCCCGGAGGCCGTTTTCTTGGACCGGCGGCGGCGGCGGTCCGAAAATCGGCTCGTCCGCACCGTCCGTTGTAAGGTTCCTCGGGGCTGTTTGGGAGCCTCGTGAAGCCTCGTTCGGGCCTCCTGGGTGCCTCTGGGAGGTCTCTTGGGGCCTCTTGTGGCCCCTTTGGGGCCTCCCGGGGCCCTGTGGAGGCGGGAGGCTCGAATTTCCGGTTCGCGGTTCCCCTCTTGGAGCCCTCTTGGTGCCGTCTCGGGCCTCTCTTCGCCCGTCTTGGGCGCGTCTTGGGCCGTCTTGGGGCCCTCCAGAGCCGTCTTGAGGCGTCTTGGGGCGTCTGCGGGAGGCCTGTGAGCCGTCGTGGAGCGTCGGAGAGCTGAAAAGGTGGGAAAGGCAAAATGTATCCAAAACCTCTGTAAAATGCACGATTTTGGCCTCTTGGGGCCCTCTGGGGGGGCGGCCTCTTGGAGGCCTCTTGGAGCGTCTTTGGGGCCTCTTTGGCCGTCTTGGGGTTATCTTGGTGGTCTCCTGGGGCCTCTTGGGGCCCGGCTCGAATTTCCGGTTCGCGGTTCCCCTCCTGGTGCCGTCTTGGACCTCTCTTCGCCCGTCGTAGGCGCGTCTTGGGCCGTCTTGGCGCCCTCCAGAGCTGTCTTGAGGCCCTCTTGGAGGCCTCTTGGGCTGTCTTGGGGCGTCTGCGGGAGGCCTGTGAGCCGTCGTGGAGCGTCGGAGAGCTGAAAATGCAGGAAAGGCAAAATGTATCCAAAACCTTTGTAAAATGCACGATTTTGGCCTCTTGGGGCCCTCTGGGGGGGCCTCTTGGAGGCCTCTTGGAGCGTCTTGGGGGCCTCTTTTGCCGTCTTGGGTGTATCTTGGTGGTCTCCTGGGGCCTCTTGTGGCCCCTTTGGGGCCTCCCGGGGCCCTGTGGAGGCGGGAGGCTCGAATTTCCGGTTCGCGGTTCCCCTCTTGGAGCCCTCCTGGTGCCGTCTTGGGCCTCTCTTCGCCCGTCTTGGGCGCGTCTTGGGCCGTCTTGGGGCCCTCCAGAGCCGTCTTGAGGCGTCTTGGGGCGTCTGCGGGAGGCCTGTGAGCCGTCGTGGAGCGTCGGAGAGCTGAAAAGGCGGCAAAGGCAACATGTATCCAAAACCTTTGTAACATACACGATTTTGGCCTCTTGGGGCCCTCTGGGGGGGCCTCTTGGAGGCCTCTTGGAGCGTCTTGGGAGCCTCTTTGGCCGTCTTGGGCTTATCTTGGGGCCCTCTTGGCGCCCTCTTGGGCCGTCTGGGAGCCATCTTGGGCGTCTTGGATCGATCGTAAGCGTCTCGAGGCACGCTTGGACCGTCTTCGGCGCCTCTTGGGCCGGACAAGGGCGCTCCCGGAGGCCCGATCCTCCCATGGGGGGTTGCGGTCCCGGCCAGGGAGCCCCCGGCCCTGTAGCCCAGTATATACATATATATATATATACATATATATATATATATATAACACCCATACTCCAAAGCCTGATCCGCATAGGACGTCACTTCGCTGGGCCCCCACGGAGCCAATGAAAGCGACGGACGTTTGAAGCTCGCAGATCCCAGGGGCGGCACGGTCTCATTCGGCTCTGGGTGCGGCGTCTCTCTACTGGTTCTCCCAGAAGTTCACCAAAGTGGCGACATGTGCGCAGTTGGCAACCCCCAGGGTAGCGAGATGTGAACTGGGTCAACGTAGGGCACCACTCCGATGGACCCCCAGGGATTAATATGAAAATGCCGACAGTTGCGCAGTGGGCAACACCCCAGGCTGGCGAGTCCTAATTTGCATCTGCGTAGGGCATGCCTCCGCCGGACATCCCAGGAGCTCGCATAGTGTCAAAAGTTGTGCAGTTGGCAACCCACCGGGGCGGCAAGGTCTAACTTGGGTCCGCGTAGGGCACCACACCCCTGGACCTCGTAGCAGCGGCCGAAAGTTGCGACCGTGGCACAGCTGGCAGCTACCCAGGGTGACGAGGTTTGATGTTGGTCTGCGATGGGCACCACTTCGCTGGATCTCGCAGTAGCTTACGCTGGCGACAGTGGCGCAGTTGGCAGCTCGGAGAGGTGGCGAAGTCTCATGTGGGCCTGCGTAGGTCACCACTCCCCCGGATCTCCCAGGAGATCACGAAAGTGGCGACAGTTGGGCAGATGGTCCCCCCCAGGATGACGAGGTCTAAGTTGGGTCTGGTTGGGCACTCCATGCAGGGTGGCGAGTTGTAGCTTAGGTTTGCATGGGTCACCACTCCGCTGAACCTCCCAGGAGCTCACCAAGATGGCAACAGTTACGCAGTTGGCCGACCCCCGCAGGGTGGCAAGGTCTAGCTGGGGCCTGCGCAGTCCACCACTTCGCTGAGCCTCCGAGCAGGTGACGAAGGTGGGGACAGCTACACAATCGGCATCCCCACAGGGCTGCGAGGTCCCACGTGGGCCCGCGTGGTCCACAGGTCCGCTGGCCCTCCCACGAGCCCACGAAGGTTGCAGCACTGGCGCACTTGGATGGCAGCCCCGTGGGCACGGCGAGGCACAGTCGGACTCGATTGGACAGGACACGCGAGAGGACACAAGACCCTCCCGAGGGCCACATTGCCACAGGAATGTAGGAAGCATGGGTCGCAAGACACAGGACACAAGGGCGCCCTTGATTTGGCAGGGTCGACCTACTAATCCGGGCCGATTGTAGCAGGCAGGAGGAGCAAACAAAACAGACGGGATGCGGACGATAGCATGAATCCAATACGGAAAGGCTGCGAAACATGAGGACACGAGTTCTTCCCCCCTAAGCATACGAAACCCATTGTGGTTCAATGGAACGCTGGCCAGGGATTCTGAATTCCTGAGCACGTGAACTCTCCCATCCTCCTCCTCAGCACCATCATCATCACCAGCGTCAGCACTGCAATCTTCACCATCGCAAGCAACGGCCTCATCGCCATCGGCATCAATAACGTAAGGGACAATGTCATACTCGTCGATGTGGTCTCCCTTATCGAATTTCGGCGCGCGCACTTCCTCATCATCTTCACCAACACAATCGCCATCATCAGTGCCCTGGTCGTGGTTGTCATCGTCCCCACTGTCGACATGAACATCATCATCGTTATTATCATAATCCTCCCAGATCCTCGCTGCCGTCGCCCAGTTGAGATGTGCCAGCAAGTTGCGAGTGAGTGAGTGGGACGGTTGCTATATCGTTGGGGTCGAACCCGAAACATTGCGACCACGTAACTTACACCGCATGTATTTCCAGCACAGACGGCACCCTGTAGACGCTGCCACATGGAGCACAAGGGCAGCTGGATTGCATCCCCACCATCACCGAACCAAAGTATGCTGGCCACCCCGCTGTTCTAAAGAGGCACCTGACGCTGCTCCATCCAATCAAACTTGGCCCCCTGTTGCGCCCTGACTCTCTCTGCACAACCGCTGGGCTAGCTGCAGATTGATCAACTCATGGGGTAACTCAATGCGCTCGCTGATGCATTGCATGTGAGATCCGAAAAGGGAATGATTTGGCGACTTGGTCGACCGATCAATAACACACGGATCGCTGCGAACTTGCCGCATTAGTGCAACCGCATATGTTGTTGGCCATGTCCTCGAACGGTTCGTGTGCATCGTACACGTTCGTGTCCAAGAAAAAATAGTCGACGGAAAAAGTCTTGTAGTGGACAGTGCTCCGCCAATACTGGGCGGGTGTGAACCACCTGATGGGGGCGGACGGTAACTGATCTGTCCCCCACCTGGGCTGGGGCAACGGAGCCAAACGGCGACAGCATAATGATTGTCAATGCGAAAGGGCGGTTCATCGTGGTGGGTTGGCGTGCTGTTCTTGTTATGTGTTTTTCTTCTGTGTCTTCCTCGATACACTTCCGCCAGGCCGTGCCCAGGGGGGTCCCAACTAGGGGGCTTACCTCCTCCTCAAGGAAACATCACCCCCGCTGAACCCCCCCAAGAACCCAGGACTGCAAGCCATGGGCTGGGAAAGGAAGAGGTAGGAAGGTAGGGTGCTAAGTTTTGGAAAGAACTTCTCCCTCTGCAGCTGTAGTGAAACCCGTTGGCCACTCCGAAACATATAGAAGTGCGGGTCGCATACCAATCTCTCGAATCGACAATCAACTGATGCTGGTGCCTTGAACGGCTGGACTGAGTCCCGCACTGCCTGAGGCGAGCGCATGCGACTGAGACCCCCAGAAAAAAAAAACTCACCCGGTAACTCATCCAATCCCTTCTCCGTACTGGGTTCCCAATACATCGTCCTGGCTTTCCCCATGCGCCTTTCCGTGAACCGTCACCAAGAAAGAGACATTCCAGCTGTAAAATGCGAGCCACATGCGCAACGGCGCTTATGCACCAAGCAACGCCTGCACAAACAGCAACACCAATGTGCACTGCAGCCCGCGTGTACAACACAACGCTCACATGCACAACAGCGCCTGCGCACACCAGCGTGCGTGCGCACCACGGCGCCTTTGTGCACCACTAGCTGCTGCAAACGCGGCAGCACTGTGTCTCACAACACCTCAATGCCAAGATGCACAACAATGCCAATGCACCTTCGGAAGCCTCCGGGTCACGTCGGTCGTCGCCGTCCTATTCTCTCTCCCCTCCTGTCTCCTCCTCCTCCTCCTCCTCCTCCTGCTCCTCCTCCTCCTACTCCTCATCCGCCTCCTCCTCTGGATCCCCCTCATCCTTCTCGCGTCATCCCACTCATGCGTCATGCTCCTTCTCCTCCTTCTCCTTCTCCATCTCCTGCTTACTCCTTGCCCCCCCCCTCTTCTTCCTCTTCCTCCTCTTCATCCTCCTCCTACTCATCCCTTGTCCTCCCCCTATGTTCCACTTTCCTCTTTCTCCTCCTCCTCCTTCCTCTCATAACCAAACTCAAGACTCTGATTAGGTTGTCGCCCACAGATCTGCGCCGTGCTGAGGAGCTGGCTAGCTCCACGAACTGCCCAATTCATTGTGTTCGGCCATGCCTCCAGGGTGGCACCCGTGGACAGTCGGGTGCACCAAGGTACATTAGTCTGCCCCCAACATTGGCGAGTATGCTTCGCCGATTCGCGCCTGGCTATTCGGGCCGCTGCTTTCGAAACAATTCTCTTCACGCGTAATGTCAAAGTTTTTTTTGTTCAGGAGGCCATTACCGATCTAATGTACGCTGCGGCGTTCGATCGAACAACTGCTTTTGATCGACAATCGGAGGCGCGCAAGCCGCATCACATTCGATGGCAACAAGAGGGGCCAACGCATATATTTACGATCACGACCAGCGGGTGGAAACATCAAGGTTATAATCGCGCATCTCGATTTGATGCGTGACGCCATCAAGGCATGTTTGTCCGACGCAAACTGCCGCGTCTACGTAATTCTTCGCCCTCGGCTCCATCGTACAAATTCTGGCTTGATCGGATGGTTCAACGCGGCGTCCTCAACTTTCTTGGGTACAAAACACCGGCCATAACCCACGTTTCGTTTTCCGCTTTGTCTCCGATAGACGCTGTTGCAACCAGGCTCTACGCTTTGGCACCTTCAGCTCTCCGAGCAAACATCGCCATGCTGGGGGTGATTCACAAGTCCGTCTCGTCGTCTTCGTCGGCGGCGGCGTAGTCGTCATTCTGCGTGTCTCCTCCTCCTCCCCTTTTCTCCTCCCCCTACCCATGGCGCGTGGATTGCAGGGTGCGCCCCTCCCGCAGTGCCGCCGTTGGGGCGTGGCCCTCCCCACTCGCTGCCTTTTCCCTTCTACCCTTGCCTTCCGCGTCGTCTGCTGCTGATAGTCCTCCCTCCCCCTCCTCCCTTTTCATCGTCCGTCCTTCCTCCTCCTTTCCCTCCGTCCTCTTCGCGCTTCCCCCTCGCTGCATGTTTGACGGTCTGTTGAAATCGGACTGCCTTTTCGCTGTGTGCCCGATCGTTTCTGGGCAGATCAGGAACTGGGCGAAATCATTGTTTGGATGTTTCTCGGGTATCCGGTTTTATTCCGTCGTGGGGTTGGGCTACCCGACGTAAGGTTCACATAGATCAAGGGGCCCCAGGACACACAAATAAATACACACAAATAAAATATTTCCCCATATTTTCCCATATTTTCTGGGTTTTTGTCTTCCCGCCCAATTCCCATGTTTTCCCATATTTTCTGGGGGAATCGCCGATTAATTGTGTCTGTGTTTCTTCCCCTCCTGAGTAAGGTTCACATAGAGTCTACATCGAGTCGCTGTCCGCCGGGAACCCTCTTCGCCCAGTGCTCCCCTTCCTCTTCGCCTGTCCCTCCCCCGCATCCATCCCCTCGTGCTCGGGCGGGCGGAACTCGTGTAATCCGAAATCCGGATAGCAACGCACGCAGCCTGCGTGAACGGCACCGGGAAAAACTGCCTGGACTTGGGTACGATCCCTGGACACACGCCTGGGTAGCTACCCCCAGCCGACGCGCCCCCACAAGCCTGGGGAATGTTCCGCAAAAGCTGCCCAGGCGCCGTCCAATAACCCAAGAAACGCTGCCGTGAAGCTCCGCAGGCGCTGTCCACAAGCCTCCGAAAATCTGCCCAGGAGCTGCCTAGGCGCGCCGTGAAAGCGCCGCTTCGGCGCTGCCCAGGACCTGCGCACGAGTGCTGGAATCGCTGAGAAAGAGCTGCGCAAACGCTTGCGACCCATGGGAATGTCATGCCTGATCTCTCTCTCTCTCTCTCTCTCTTTTCGTTTCCCTCCCTCGGGCTGTTGTTTGTAACCCATGGAGCTGGACAGCGACACCTACAAGCTGCCCAAAACACTCGCGAAAACACAGGAAACGCGAAGAAGAAACTACGCAAACGCTTGCGGGACACGCTACTGGCTCGAGCAAGCCGCCGAGACGCTCACTGGCCGGCAGCCGCAGATAAGCTTTTTATCAACAAAACCACTCTCTCAAGGAACTCTTCGGGATTTATTTGCCAAGCTCTCTTTTCCTTTCCCTTCTTCGCTTTGCTTGTTTGTGACCCACGGGCATGGAAAGCGCTGCGTAAGAGTTCTGTTTTGGGAATGAGTAGCGCAGCGCTTGCGGGGCACGCTGCAAGTTCCAGCAAATTGTCGTGACGCTCCGTGACCGGCGGCTGCGGGGAGGAAGCTGGCCTGGCATACTTCAGTCGACCGTTTTTCCTGGAAAGGGCGTGGGCCCAATGTTCTCTTTTAGCTGTTGACCCCTGGAATCGACGGGGCTGGCGGAATAATTCTGCGATAAATAACGAGGTCGCGTAGGGCAGGCGCATTTGAATTTTGAAGATGTCCCTGGATAACCGCTTGTGTTGCATCATGTGTTGAGGGTGTCTCGAGCGAAGCTCTTGTTTTGTGCTATAGATCTTTCCTCTCAGAATTCAGAGGATGTCTCAAGTGAAATGGTTGTTTTCACGTGCCCAGGTCTTGAGGAAGTCTTGAGCGAGACGCGTCGAGGATGTCTCGAGCAAAACGCTTGTCTTGCAGAACTCGAGCGGCCTGGGCGCACCAGGATGCCCACGTGGTTCTTAGAACCCGAACACCACGTAATTTGCTAAGGAACGTGGTCCTGGGGGCGCGGACACCGTGCAATGTACTAGGAAACGCGGCCCCGGGAGCGCGGATGCAGCATAATTCACGAGGGAGCGCGGCCCTGGGAGCGCGGACGTAGCGTAGTTTACTAAGCAACGTGGCCCTGGGAGCGCGGACGCAGCATAATGTACGGTGGATCGTGGCTCTGGGAGCGCAGACGCAGCGTAATTTACAATAGATCGTGGCCCTGGGAGCGCGGACGCAGCAAAAATGTACGAGGGATCGTGGCCCTGGTGGGGGCGGACACCGCGAAATGTGTCAGGAACGTGGCCCTGGGAGCGCAGACACAGCATAATGCACAAGGGAGCGCGGCCCTGGGAGCGCGGACGCAGCGTAGTTTACTAAGCAACGTGGCCCTGGGAGAGCGGACGCGCGTATTCTGCAAGGGATCGTGGCCCTGGGAGCGCGGACGCAGCGGAAGTTGGCGTCCCCATGGCACGTCCCCTGGCGCGTCCCTTGGGACGTTCTGCGGCACGTCCTCCTGGCATGCCCCCCTGTCAATTAGCCCTGGGGCAGCTGCTGTGTGTTCAGGCAGCTCGAGCTGAAGATCAAGATCAATTCGGTCAGGACTCGGATGCAAAAGAGGACTCGGTCTATGCTGCTATAGAGCACAATCGCGGCATGCCACATCACAATTCAGCACGGCGCAGCGCAGCACAGCCCTTGGCACGGTTGGCACGTTCCCTGGCACGTTCCATGGCGCGTCCCGTGGCGAGACCCCCTGGCACGTCGCGCTGCGCATCCCCTGGCACGTCCATTGGCATGTTCTGTAGCGCGTCCCCTTGGCACGTCCCGCGGTGCGTCCCCATGGCACGTCCCCTGGCACGTCGCCTGGCGCGTCCCTTGGAACGTTCTGCGGCACGTCCTCCTGGCATATCCCCCTGTCGATTAGCTCTGGGGCAACGGCAACGTGTTCAGACAGCTCGAGCTTAAGATCAAGATCAATTCGGTCAGGACTCGGATGCAAAAGAGGACTCGGTCTATGCTGCTATAGAGCACAATCGCGGCATGCCACATCACAATTCAGCACGGCGCAGCGCAGCACAGCCCTTGGCACGGTACATCAAAATTACATTCAGCATTGCATTTGCCCGTCGCCGAATCGAGTGTCTTTGAAAACGTTGCCATGCCTTACATGTCACTATTCCTCTCCAGGTTCGTGGGTCGATCATGAGTGTCGTAAGCACGGACAACCGCTTCAAGGAGTTATCCGAGAGCCTTCTGCCCGACTCCCTCCTTCCCTTTCCCCACATCACGTCGTTTGGTTGTGACACACGGGCCTGGGACATGCTGCCTGGGAGCTGCCTGGATGCTGTCTAGGCGCTGCCTAGGTCCTGCGCGCAAGTGCAGGAAACGCTGCGAAATAGCTGCGCGAACGCTTGCGACCCACGTATGGGAAATGAGCAGGAAAACGCTTGCTGGACACGTTAACGGCGCTGCTGGCTCGAGCAAACCACCGCGACGCTCACTGGCCAACAACCGTGGTGAGGAAGCTGGTCTATCCCAACCTTCCGGCTTCTTCTCTAAAACCCTTCCAGATTCCGCGAAATTTCCGCAACGGCCGCGGGCGCCGCTTCCAGGCCCTCCGCGGGGGCAGGCTCTGGAGGGCGAGCTGGCGCCGCCACCGCTGGAACGGACGCGAGCGTCGGCGACGGCGCGAACGTCAAAGGGGCTCCTCGTCCTCGTCAAACTGCCCCCCCTCCCTCCTCCTCCTCCTTCCAGGCCCTGCCTGCTTGTCCTCCTCCTCCTCCTCCTCCTCATCCTCCTCTTCCTCCGCCTCCTCTACCTCCTTCTCCACGCCTTTTCACCCGATCGCTCACTCGCTCGCTTGCTGATAGCACGTGGTGCACCGAAACGGCAGCACCATTCCCGATGGGGGATGGGAGATGTGGTCCGCGCGAAGACAACTGCACCGTTCTCAACCGTGGACGGGGCCGGCGCTGAGGCTGAATCGCCGTTCTTACTTACGGACGTGGCCTGAGCTCAAACGAAATCACTGCTCCCCAAAAAGAATGCAGCCGTCGCTGAGGCAAGAACAAAAGACATATTCTGTTGAGGCCACGGTTCCATGCTACATAACGAAATGCCACAGGGCCCATCCCTAAAGCGACAGTGACCGGACCACCTCAGGTCAAGGCATCTCCGAGCCGAGATCTGGGAGGGCGTCTCCAACGCAATTGGCCCGACCATCCTAAACATCTGAAGAAATCTCGTTGCTGCCGTCCCGCGCCCGCAACGAACATCTGACACTACGGACCCGCAGAGCGGGCGCAAAGAATGCTGACACTAGAGCGTTCTGAGAAAATCATGAAAATTTGGTTTCGACAATTCTACACTTTATACAAATCTCAGCGTTTACAATGGCGCCAGCGCCGGGAAAGCCAGGACGACTTCAGAGGAGTCACATTAGATGGGGAAGAGGAGGGAGACGAGACGACACGACAAATGGGCAGCACGGAGCATCCTGAGGAGGGCCTCTCGGTTATGCGGCCACTCGGCCCTGCAAGCCGAAACATCCCCAACAGACCATGGCTGGTGCACGAGATCGGTATCTTCCCTCTCCTGCTCGGGAAGCCACAGACATCCCGCTGTTTCCTCCACCGCCACACTGCCACAACAGACGGCCGCAACCTCCGACTGCCCACGCACACGCACCGATCCTGGGCAAACGGCATCTTCCATCCCCCCCCCGCAATCCCTCTCTTAGCCCACCGCTTCGTCCGGTTCTTCGCCGGCTCCTTCCACGTGTACATGATCGCCTGGGCCCCCGTTGCACCAGGGCTGGAGGGCAGACCGCATTCCCCCCGCGCCCCTGCTGGAGGAGGATAATGAGAGGGAAGATGAGAGCTGTTAAACGTTCGGCCTCGCCATCGAAATAACAAATCTCCCTCACACCTTTCCTCCTCCCTCTTCTTGGAGGCGGCTGGGGGGTCTGAACTGGTTGGGACCCTGGAAAATCGCTCAAGAAGAAGGAAAAATCCGAGTCCGCTCAAAATCTGTGCCGAGACTCCTCCCAGGGTCCATCTGGTGGAAATTTTCGGTCCGGATCCGTTCTTCACGGCCACAAGGCCCGAAAACGGACCCCGGAAAAAAAGAGAGGCAAACAAACACCTTTCCGAACCACAACCTCGAACCCCTGCCCGCCCTCACTGCTGGCCGAAACCGGTGCTGGGCCACCTTGGACCGCCAGAGGGCTCCAACCCTCTTCCTGTCTCCGAAGTCTCTGAATGCCTTCAGAAGTCTCTCAACTCCTTCCATGACCGTCGGAGGTCGCCCGAGGCCTCCAAAGATTTGGAACCCGCCACAAACGACTGGACACATCGACACTCAGTCCTCGAGTCTCATTCTTTTCCCGTCAAAGGGACTGAGCCCAGAAGGAGACCGGCAGAGAGGTCGAAGAGGGCGGGCGAATTAAAATGTGAGGATGTCTCAGGCGAAACGCTTTGAAATCCCAATCGATAAAACACTAAAATGCACATGTGCGTCTGTTGCTGATGTCTCTAGCGAAACGGTCGATGTGCATAATGTGTTGAGGATGTCTCGAGCGAAACGTTTCCTCTCCTTGGGACCAGAATTCAGAGAATGTTTGAGGTAGCATGATTGTTTTCACGTGCCCAGGTCTTGAGGATGTCTCAAGCGAGACGCTTGGGTTCACGCTTCAAGGTTGCCCAGGCAGATGTCTAGCACCACGAGTTGTTGAGGATGTCTCGAGCGAGACGCATGTTTTCACGGGTCCAGGTCGTCCAGGCAGATGTCTAGCATGAGGATGTGTTGAGGATGTCTCCCGAGAGAGAAGTTTGTTTTGGCGTGTCCAGGTCGCCCAGGTGGATGCCTAGAATGAGGATGTGTTGAGGATGTGTTGAGCGAAACGCTTGTTTTCCTTTGCCCAGGTCGCCCAGGCGGATGTCTAACATGAGGATTTGTTGAGGATGTCTCTCGCGAGACGCTTGTTTCCACGCGTCCAGGTCGTCCAGGCAGATGTCTAGCATGAGGATGTGTTCAGAACTCGAGCGAAACGCGTGTATTCACGTGCCCAGGTCGCCCAGGCGGATATCTGACATGAAGATGTGATGAGGATGCCTACAGCGACACGCTTGCTCTCACATGTCCAGGTCGTCCAGGCAGATGTCTAGCATAAGGACGTGCTGAGGATGTGTTGAGCGAGACGCTTGTTTTCCTTTGCCCAGGTCGCACAAGCGGATGTCTAACATGAAGATGTTCGGAAGATGTCTCGAACGAACCGCTTGTTTTCACGTGTCCAGGCCCCCAGGCAGATGCCTAGCATGAGAAAGTGTTGAGGATCTGTTGAGAGTAACGCTTGGTTTCACATGTCCAGGTCGCTCAGATGACCAGCATGAGGAGGTATTGAGAACATCCCGAGCGAGACGCTTGGTTTCACGTGTCCAGGTCGCCCAGGCGGACGTCTAACATGAGGATGTGTTCAGGATGTCTCGAGCGAAACGCTTGTCGCAATAGAGTGCGTCGCAGTCCAATCCCGCCCGTCCGTGGGGCGTCCCCTGGCGCCCTGGCGTGCCCCCTGGCGCGTCCCTTGCGACGGTCAGGCGTGACGTGCCCTGGCACGTCCCCTAGCACGACTCTCGGCGTGGCACGGTCCCTGGCTCGCCCTCTGTCGCGTTTCCTGGCTCGTCCCCAAGCTGTTCCCCTGCCCGTGCCGTGGCGCGCCCCTTGCAACGTCCCGTGGCATGACGTCCTCTGGCCGCCCCATGGCACGCGCATTGGCACGTCCCATGGCAGGTCCCTGACACGTTCACGGCGCGTCCCCTGATGAATCCCCTGGCACATCCATGAATGCGCCCCTGGCGCATCTTGTGGCGCGTCCGTGAGCCTGTGCCCAGTGTCGTGCCGTTCATTTTCGGAGCTGAGTCGGACTTTGAGGCCGAGTTGATTGAACGTCCTCCACGTTTCCTCTTCAGTTCACCCTAGGGCAGCTGCTATGTGTCAGGCAGCTCGAACTTAAGATCCAGATCAGTTCGGTCAGGACTCGAATGCCAATGTGGACTCGATCCGCAACGCTATAGAGCACCATCGCGGCATGCTACATCGCAATTCAGCACGGCGCAGCCCAGCACAGCCCTGGGTACGGTACACCAAGATCGATACATCCAGCGTTGCAATTGCACGTCGCCCAATCAGGTGTCTTGAAAACGTTGCCATGCCTCACAGTGCTACATCCCTTTCTGGGTTCGTGGGTCGGTCATGTTCCATCGGGGACGCGTTCACCCAATCAGCACTGACATGGGTCAGCCAAAGCCATGCGTCGAATCTGGGCCAGCCGCATAATGTGCGACCTGATGATGAGGATGTGCGGTAAGGATGCAAGGCCAGTTGACGCAAGAACCAAAACCGAAGTTGGAAGCCCTGGCCCATAGCCAGGGTTTAGAATGGGGAGGCTGGGATGCAACAATACCCTTGGAAAATTATTCATCCTTATTCTCATCTGTAGCTACCGTAGCTCGGAAGCACGTGCCAGCGGAGGGAGAGGGAAGGGGGAGTAGATCTCCAGAAGTCCAGTTCAGCCAGCAACGATCAAAGGGTGTTGGCCGCCCCCCCCCTCCCCTTTACCCAGACCCCTGGCGCTGCGACGTTTGCACCACGTGGGCCCAAAGAGGCTTCGGACCCTTACGACGCGGGGCCACGTCTTCACCCCGAGCCGTTTGTTATTACAGGTCTCCAAGAAGCATGCCCAATCATCCTGCGGCATTCCTCCATCAGGATCGATCCGCGAGGGCCTGGAGCTAGAGGCCCGAATCCGAACGACAACGCTTCGTGTGAGAGAACTGCAGATCTCGGGAAGGCCCCCGGAACGTGTTGTTCTTGGCATGGGCGGAGGCCAAGGGTTCTCTTCAAAATTTGAAAGGTTTTACATATCGCCTCGACTTGAAGGAGGCCAACGAATGAAATAACGAATTCGAAGGGAGCCCGCACAATATCAAGTTGAGCATGTCCCGAGCGAAACGACAGCGTCTAGCATTCCGATTGACAAAGCACATGCTGAAGTAAACATGTTCGGTTCTTGCGGATGTCTCGAGCGAAACACTTGGTTTGTAGACTTTGTTGAGGATGCCTCGAGCGAAGCGCTTGCTTGTGGTATCTATTGATTTTCTCCTGAGGACCAGGAATTAGAAGGCTCTCGGGTGAAGCCTTGATGTTGTCTCACGCGAGACGCGTGGTTTCACGCGTCACGGTTGGCGTGCTGTCGCGCCCCCTGGCGCGTCCCTTGCGACGGTCAGGCGTGACATGCCCTGGCACGTCCCCTAGCACGCCACTCGGCGTGGCACGGTCCCTGGCACGTCGCACGTCCTCTGTCGCGTTTCCTTGCTCGTCCCCAAGCTGTTCCCCTGCCCGTGCCGTGGCGCGCCCCTTGCAACGTCCCGTGGCATGGCGTCCTCTGGCCGCCCCATGGCACGCGCATTGGCACGTCCCGTGACAGATCCCTTACACGTCCAGGTGACACGCCCACTGGCGCATCCCCTATTGCCCCCCTTGCACATCCTGTGGCACGTCCGTGAGCCTGTGCCCAGTGTCGTGTCGCTACTTTTCGGAGCTGAATCGGACTTTGAGGTCGAGTTGATTGAACGCCCCGCACGTTTCCACTTCAACTAGCTCTGGGGCAGCTACGGTGTGCTCATGCAGCTCGAGCTTAAGATCCATATCAGGCCGGTCAGGACTCGGAAGCAAAGCGGGTCTCGATCCACATCGCTGTACAGCACAATCGCGGCATGGCACATCACAATTCGGCACGGCGCAACACAGCACAGCTCTTGGCACGGTACATCAAGATCGACCCACGCAGCATTGCAACTGCCAGGCGCCACGTCAGGTGTCCTGAAGACGTCGCCATGCCTCACAGTTCTATCCTGCTTCTGCTCCTCCTCGTCGATCCTCGTCTGCTCCTTCCAACCCATCCTGAGATCGGGCGCTGCCGGAGACGTGGGCCCCGCTGCAAATCGCGACCAGAACCCTCGACCCTCGACCTTTATAGACCCGTCTCCCTGCAGCCCTTCCCGAGGCGCATCCATCCGAGAGGGCCGCGGGGCCCCCGTCCTGGCGGAGGCGCCAACTGTGACGGAGGCTGCGGCGCCCTGGCCCGAGGGTCCTCCCCCTCTCCCGTGCGCACGATCTCCCTGCAGCACTTCCCGAGGCGCATCCATCCGAGAGGGCCGCGGGGCCCCTGTCCTGGCGGAAGCGCCAACTGTGACGGAGGCTGCGGCGCCCTGGCCCGAGGGTCCTCCCCCCTCTCCCGTGCGCACGCGGGGGGGGGGGCCTGGTCCCAGCCGTTGCTGTACAGGTAGCCGCCGTAGTCGTGGTTCCCGAGGACGCCGAGCCACGGGACGCCGTCGAGGCCTGAGGAATGGGCCGATAGCCAGGAGACTGCTCCTCTGTGTACGCGTCGGGCCAAGTTCCCAGACCTCAACGCCTTGACCCCCCCCCAAACAAAACTAGACGGAATGAATCTGAACGTTTCAAGCTCTGGGAGCCCGTCTCAGATCGACGGGGCAATCAATCGAGAATCTCAAGAACCGATCCAGCATGAGAACCGTCCACAGGAAGGGAGGTCGGGACTTGGGGCCTCGTATCGAACAAAACCACGACATCTGAGTTCTGGGTCACCTGCCTGGAGGGTGGGGAAGGTTTGTGTGGTGTGTGTGTGTGTGTGTCTGTGTGTGCGTGGCCAGGTGAGTCCCCAGAGGGAATCCAGACTTCAAGCACATCGAAACTCACCTGCACGCCTCTTCAGCTCGAGCTTTGGGCGCTCGTTGAAAAGACGGCGGGAGGGGGCGAGGGAGTGAGAAACAAATCAGCTGATGAACGAAGTTCGAGGGAGGTTCATGTGCGCCCCTGGGCCTCTGGATGCCTCGTGGAAACCCTGGCGATCTCCAGAGCGACTCCAGAAGGCCACTGGGGACGAGGTGGAAACATTAACAAACATACACCAGGTCATCCAGAACATAAGATAGACTGGAAGTGACAAGCAAAGAACAAGGGGAGGGGAATGCCGAAAGCAATAGACGGTGGTGAGCCCGCGGACACCACGATACCACACACACACTTCTCCCATCTGTTCCTCCCTCCCCTAACGTCATCCGCCCTCCTGCTCACCACCCTTTTGCCCGTACCCTCCGCCATTCCCCCCTCTGGAGGAACATTCACATACGGCAAGTTCATGCCGTGGCCTCCTGCCGAATTGAAGATGCATCGAGAGCCCGCGGAAGCGGAATTGATGCCGAATCGAAGATTGAGGAATCGATCGAGGCTGGAGCATCGAGGCTCGAGCTGCGAGTTTCGAAGATCGAGGAGAGGAGGTTGGCCGCCTGAGCGAGGGCCAATCGAGACAACGGCGGACCTCTCGCCTCCGAATCGGTTCCCGAACCCCTCACCGGGTCCACCAGGGCCCGTTTGCCGAGGCGGATCCAAATCCAACAGGGCGACGAGAGGCCTCCTGGAGCCCCAGAAAGGACGGACGAGCAGCGCCAGCACGGGCCGCAGCTGTCTCGACTGGCCCCCTCCGAGGCAGAAGCACGGGGTCCTCGTCCTCCTCGTCCTCCCCCTCCTGCTGCCCGTTCCTCCTGCGCCTCCTCCTGCGTAGTCGTGCAGGCCTGCATGAGAAGGCGTCTCTCTGCTGGTCGGCAGGGCAGGGCGCAACCATCCCGAGGAGCCGGGAGGTGCACAAGCTGCCTCCTGCTGCCGCCTCCTCCTCCCCTCCCGGGCTGGCGCTCGGCGCGGTGGAGCTTCTGACCCCTTCCCCCCTCGGCCCGCACCTTCCACACCTTCCGCACGGACAGTGCCGCCGCTGGGGCCTCGACGGTAGCCGCCGCTGTGGCAGCGGCGGCGGCCGCGGCAGCGCGCCACCTGCCGCGCGGACGGCGTGGGAGGTGCAATTCGAGGGCCTCTCAGCGGGGCAGCTGACACTTGGTGGGACGCACGGACCCCATCGAATCCTCACCCTGAACTCTTTCGAACCCTTCCCACAATTTCGATGCCGTTATTTACTCAATACGGGGCCCCGGAAATCTCGGCCCATTCCCAAGGGCCGGTGTTTCATCCCGACTCCCGCCAGATCTCTGGGCGTCGGCGGTCTCTAGATGTCCTTTATCTCTCTTCCAACAGCCCCTCTTCCCCTTCGGGGAAGGGTGTACCCCTCCACCCCCTCCCCTGGACGTGGACGGGGTGAAGTCGCGAGGTGTCAGAAGGTCCTTTCCTTTTTGGCCCAAGATGGCGCCAAGAGGGCCCCAGATAGCCCAAGATGGCCTCCAAGCTCGCTCAGGATAGCCCAACATGGCTCGAGATAGCTAAGAGCATGCCTCCAAGAGGCCCCAAGAGGACCACAAGTCGGATCCAAGCGCTTTTGGAGACCCCTCAGGACCTCCCCGAGAAGCCAACATCTGTCAAAAACCTCTGGGCACTCGATGACGTTGGCCTTCTCGCCCCTTCGCTTCAGATGCGCTTATGGGGCCTCAAGATGGCCCCAAGATGGCCCAAGCGAGCTTCAATAGGGGCCCGAAAGGCCCCTAAAACTGCCCCCACAGCGCCAATGATCGCCCGAAGAGCGCCCCAAGAGGACCCCCAGAGGCAGTTTCGAGAGCTCTTGGGGGGGGAGGCTAGATAAGGCCCCCCCCTTTGATCCATGGCCTCCCAAGTGGCCCCAGGAGGCCCTCCGAAACTTCCAGGAGAGCCCCAAGAAAGGCCCAAGAGGACCCCAAGAGGGGTCCAAGAGGGCCACATGCCCCAAAAGAGCTCCAAGAGGACCCCAAGACCCCCGAAAGAGCCCCAAGAGGGCCCCAAGATGCCCCACAAGAGACCCCAGAGGACCCCAAGACGACCCCCAACAGCCCCATAGCTCGAAGAAGGTCTCCGATGACCCAAGATAGCCTCCATCATGGCTCAACACGTTCCTTCCCCTCCTCTCTTTGACAACTTTGTTTTCCATTTCCCGTCAACTCTCGTGGGCAGGGCTTCTGAATGGGCTGTCCGGGATTCGCGAAGCGTACACAATTGCTTGTCCAGGAATGGGCGGAGGCACAGGGTTCTCTTTTAGCAGGTTAATTGAAGCCCCCCTGGTCATGACTTGACGTGGAACGGCGGAAGTATTTGCTATAAGAAACATTTGTTTTAGATTCTGACGAATTTACTTGCATCGCTGGGGGGGAGGGGTGCGTGCCCCAAACAAGCCAAAAGCAACTTGCACGTTTGTTGGGGGGTGCTCCACGCCGACGCGCGTGCGAATGGAATCGCCTGAACATCAAAGGCGCCCGCTGGGTTTGCCATGGGTACGACGCATGGGCAGCTTCGATTATTTCCTGGCGTCAGGTATCCCAAGATGCACCCGCTTAGGTTCCACGAGGACGCTGCATCCCTCCTGCTCCTGGCGCTCCTTTGTGAAGAGCACCGTGTCGCAACGCATTTCAATATTTAAACGTTTGACTGAACGTTCGCTCCACATTGCTTCGACAAGCGTTGCATTTGCAACGCTTTGGCATTCGTTGCACCTTATGGCGTTTTTTTTTTTACTGCTTTCACATGAACTGTCTATGCACTGCGTTTTGTTGCACTGCGTCGCGCCGCGTAGCAAATCACTGCGTTGCGTTGCATTGCCTTTCATTTTTTGCATCGCATTCGATCACCATGTATCGCACGGAACTGCCTGATCCTGGAACTCTTAGAGCTGCATCGCACTGCAAAGCGCAACGCTTGAAAGCGTTGCGTTTCAATGAGTTGTGCTGATCTGGTTATGTAAGTGGAATGTGCGCCCAGTTCTCGCGGTGTCTAAATTGGCATTGAGGTAATCCAAAACACCGTCTGCTTTCCTGATGTTACGTAAACCGTTGTCGCCACCATCGCACAGCATCTTGGAAGAAAAAAACGTAGGGAAGCTTCACCGCGCAATGGCAAAATTGGCGGGGGTGGCGCTCCGAACCAACTTGAGGATGCGTCTCTTGAACTCAAAGGCACATGTTTTTGTAGAAAGCAAAACGATGTGATGCCCCAACGGCCCCTTGCACTTGCACCCACGAGGGGCGAGGCGGGAATCACACAAGTCGAAAGGCATTTGCACGCTAGTACTTGTGTGAAGAGGGGCGAAGGGGGCGGGGGGGGGGGGGGGCAAACGCCATGCAAGTAAACCTGTCTGAGTACATGGAAAGACCGTCTCGAAAGAAGAACGAAACAATCTCTGACTGTTTCAAAACATGCGTTTCGCGCGTGCCCGCTCGAGGAAAAGCTGCCCCCTCTTTATCTCGGATCCTCGATGAACAACGGGGTCCGCAGACACCCATTTTCCTTAATACAGGCGGTTTACAAAACGGTTTACGCAGAGCCGACGATAAAACACAACGTATGGAGCCCCTGGCAGCGCCAAAGAAGACGATGGAAACGTTCACTTGGTGCGTGCCCGCTCGAGGATGGCGCGTCCCGCGCGGAGGATGTTCGAGGATGTCTCAAGCCCCGCGCTTGTCTTGCAGAAGGAAGGTTGGCTTTTTGTGTGCCCGCTCAAGGGTAGCGCACCCTGCGTGCCGAATGTCTATGAATGTCCCTGGCGAACAATTCGTTTTACACCAATCTTGGCCTCCGGAGCGCGGACGCAGCGTAATTGACCAGAGATCGTGGCCCTGGGAGCGCGGACGCAGCGTGGCGTGCCAAAGATTTTGGCCCAGGGGGAACGGACGCAGCGTAATGTACAAGTGATTGTGGCCCTGGGGGCGCGGACGCGACGAAATTTACAATGGGTCGTGGCCGTGGGAGCGCAGACGCAGTATGATTTCCATGGGATCGTGGCCCTGGGGGGCGGACACAGCGTAATGTATTTGGAATCCTGCCCCTGGGGGCGTGAACGCTGCGTGATTTACAAGAACGCGACACTACGCCTACAATAACGACCGCTGGTCCCCATTCAAATCCTCACGACAAGAGGCGCACCCATCCTTTCGCGTGAAGGGGCGCCCACAACGGACTAGTCACTGCGAGAGGGGGCAGTAGGAGGAGCAATAAAGGTAGTGATCGAAAGATTACGTCGTAGAAAAAATTAAGGAACATTGCTGGCAACAATGGTACAGATAGTAGTCGTAGTAGTAGTACTCGCAGCCGTAGTACGAAAACCAATATGAATCGCACGACTCGTAGAAATAGTAATAATGTTATTCGCCGTGGTAGCGGCAATCGTAAACGTACTAGTACTAGTAGTAGTAGTAGTAGTAGTAGTAGTAGTAGTAGTAGTAGTAGTAGTCGTCGCAGTAGTAGTAGTAGTAGTAGTAGTAGTAGTAGTAGTAGTAGTAATAATAGTAGCAGCAGTAGTAGTAGTAGTAGCAGTAGTAGTAGTAGTGGTAGTAGTAATGGTGGTCGTGGTAGTA